GGTGTCTGTCCCAGCGGGTGAGGAGCACCCGCTGCAAGGACACATCTCACTCCGGTAAGCAGAGCATGGGCAGGCATCACGCAGCCAGAGCCAGGGGAAGGGGCGGCGGGCAGGAGGCTGCGCCGGACGGACGGGGACTGCAGGGGCAGCAGGGAAAGGGGCTGAGCTCAGGGAAGCCTCAGGAAAGAGCCCTGACAAGGACAGGAGCATGTTGGAGAGAAGGAAAAGGCACGTGTATATGTTTGGCTCTGATGATCACCAGATGAAGGGTCTAGATATATGAGTTGGTCCCTCTGCTGCCTACCATCCTAGAGGTACAAAGCTGGCTGGGAGGAGATGTTGAGGGAGGAGGTGCCGTGGCTGAGGGTGTAACCTTGTGGGGCTGGAGAGGACTGGAGGGGACTCAGAATGGAAGGTGGGGTGAGAAATGAAAAGGAAGTGGTTCAGTTTCTCCCCTGTCTCTAGTGCCTTCCTGATCACCCAAGGGCATTATTCATGAGGGTTTTTCTTCACTCCCAAATCTGATAACAGCACGAATGTGAGGTTTGTTAAGCACTTAGGGACCAGATTCACAAAGGTACTGGGGGAAATCTGCCCAGAATACCTGTGCGGATCTGCCTATGAGCTTTATAGGAACACTGGTAACGTTTGTCTTATGGAACCAGAGGTTTAGCTCTTTCCTTGTAGTGCAGAGTGCCATGCAATTTTAATGCGTGTAGGGTTGTACTGAAGACCATGTATTACTGCTGATAAGAGAGCACAGATACGTAGCAGTAAATAGCAAGACAGAGATGTACAGGCTCTATATGGACTATAGTAGCTGTATATCCGGTAAGCGGAGTTTTGTGGAGGAGGAAAACAGATAAAATATGCTGGAAGCTTCTAATAAAGATCTATCTCATTTAATACTTTTGTGTACATTCCTGTGTCTACATTGTTTGTGTGTGGAACTGTTGAATGAGTACTGAGTTGTAAAGAATGAGAAATCAATCCATTATGTGTCTGTGAATACGAAAACGTAGGTGTTGATGTGCTGGTTGAGAGAGGAGGACAGAGTATGCAGGGAGATGGGCTGCTTCTGCTCTTCTTTGGCTCGCTCCCCATGTCTACCCCTCTGAGACGCATCTTGGCTGTTGCATGTCGCTAACAGCCTGATCCAGAGAGCTCTGCCCTCTCTCCTGTCTCAGAAATACTCAGGAGTGGAGCAGAGAGCCAGCCCTCCAGCCAGCTCCTCCCAGGGCCCCCTGAACAGGTCAGTGAGCACAAGGCAATGCACAGCCGCAGCTCCCAGGTCCGGTGCATCAATCCTCATCTGCCCAGTCCCCGGGGACGCAGCCAGGCTCTGCAGTCTGAGCTGCATCCAGGAGCGCCTGGCACTGCAGCCTCAGGCCCCGAAAGGTTTGCCCAGCAGACCTCGCTCCCTCCAGAGAGCGGGAGCACGGCAGGCGCCGGGGAGGCCGAAGCGTTCGCATATGCTCAGTTTTACTGTTTATCCAGCCGTAAGCCGTTAAGCGCTCTCCGTGTTCTCAGTGGCAGGCGGAAATACAGCAGCCTTGGCGTGGCGGGTGGGTAATGGGGGAACAGCTGGAGGAGTCGGGCAATTCCGTTACGCAGGGCTTTCCTGGGAGACTGTCACACGGAGCTGGGCAAAGCAGAGAAAGGTAAAGGAGGGCAGCGGATGGGCTTACTGAAAGGAAGGGGTCTCTGGGACTGCCAGCTCCTGCCTGAGGGGGCTCTGGCTAGTTCCCCATGCAGACTGAAGTCCCCAGGGTAAGGGGCATAGCTAAATCCTGAACGGTCACTGCTGACTTCTTGCTTGGTTTGAATTTTTCAGATTTTGTGTTTTCTAGCCTTGTCACACAAATCTGGAGGAAATAATGTTTTCCCTTCACTTTGCAGTTGCAGGAACAGTTAATTTCCCTCCCAGCCATGTACACTACTCCCAGGCCAGGTGCAGTGGTGGCAGCTAATAAATGATTGTACTAGAAGTCACTGAATTTAATACCGGGCAAAAGGGTTGGGAAAGCTGTTCTGGTTTGTCTCAGTGCCTCAGCGATTGCAAAGCTGGTCTGAAAATCTCACTAGAACTGGGAGGGTTTCTGGCCAGAAACCATAACACTGAAGACAATTTTGATGACATTAGCCCTTCCAGGGAGGTTTGAATGGGGCAGGGCTCTGTGCTGGGATGTGGGGAATCAGCTTGTACCGTGCCAGCTGGATCTTTTCTAAGCAATGCCCTTCCTTTTGGGACCTCATCTTCCCTGGCTAAGCGGTTTTGTTCTCAGCCGCTTCCCACAAGCCAAAAGCCTTTGCTGCAATGGGGTGCTGCCAGTTCAAGCTCACTGCCTGGGCGCCTTGTGAGGAATGAGCAAGCTCAGTCAGTCGAGGCTGGGCTGGAGAACTTCATGGTGAATGTATAGCTGCTAAATCGCTGCTGTGAAGAGACTTGTGCGTCTTCCACCACCATTGCTTGAAGGCCCTGTGCATGGTTTTTGCAGGAAGCCAACCTCTTCTGCTGCTTGCGGACAGTCAGGCCGCAGTCAGAGGCTACCGTCAGTTTTCCTGAACTACGCAGGGCAGGCGTGGCACTGAGGGAGGCTGCAGGAAAGCTGTTTTGGGTGCAAGTGGTACTATCAGCCGCGAGTCAGAAAGGAATCAGACCTAGGTGTTGCAAGAAGCAGGAACAGTAGGTAACGCTCTGCGCGCCCAGCGCCCCGGTCCGTGGGTGAGCCATGCGCAGCCAAAGCGCTGCGCTCGGGGTGGGAAGAGTAGCCTCCTGGCCACCCCTGGCCCGCTCGAGCTGGGAAAGGCACGGTGGCACCGAGCGCCTGTTTTCCACCCCTGAGGGATGCGGGATACCTCTCACTCTCTCGTGCCTCTATCCTAGTGTTCAAAAACTCGTGCTAAGCTTCTTCCCAGGAGAGTTCAGTGCTCACGTTATGCTGTAGGTAACATGAGGTGCCCGTCACCTCCACCAGCAAGTGCCCTTCGCCTACCTGGCGTAGTCGGTGTCTGATCCTTTAGAGCTTGGGCTTGCAGACATAGATCTGATTTGGCATCTCCCCCTGCTAAAAGCTACAGAAGGTGCCAGATGGTCCATCAGGTTATAGGCGCATTTCGCACTCCTTTTGTTCCCTGCTGGAACAGGTGGGTGAGATAGATAAATATTTCAGAAGGTAGATGTCTTCAGCCCACTGCAGAAGAGAAAGGAAATATGGAAAGATCTTGGTATCAGGAGGTCAGCTCTGGGAGTGTCTACTGTGCTCAGTCAAGCAGCAGTGTCTCCAGTGTCCTTCAAGGAAGCCAGCCTGGACTTGCCTGCAATTTTAATGCTTGGTTTATTCTCCGACCTTTTAAGCTCTCTCCTCTCCCTCCATGGCGAGGTCATCTTGCCTGTATCTCACCCCAGAGGGAGGAGCCTGGAACTCGCCATCTTCTGCAGTGCGGTGCCGGCAGCCACCACAACAGAAACGACCTTTTCGGTGCATCCTTGCTGCTGCGAGACTGTTCTTGCTTCACCAAAGAAAGCGTCAGCGCCGGAGGTGGGAGCCGTGCCATCCCACCCCACTTCCTTGCCTTGCACGTAGCTCCCACATCTGACACCTCGCCTTGCCAGGCAGATGAAAAAGTCAGGCAGGTGCACCCTCAAGAGCTGCCTCCATATTTCATTGGGCCTCGATACGCCATGTGCCACCCGGCCGCCCCGCTCCCGGCCTGGACGAGGGCCGTCTCTCTCCCCCCTCTC